AAACACTTTGATATAAACATAGAATAATGTGCATTGGAAAAACATTTCTAGTTTAAAAATGAAGGAAGCAGCTTCAGACAAGCCACGTGTGGCCGGTGTGGGTAGTGGCCGGCCTTCGTTGCGATCACTTCGTCTCAAGTCCCAACCTCAACACTGTCCCCCCAACGCCAAAGTACGCCATTATTGTTTTGGTTATTTATCTATTGTAAAGGATCAAGTAAAGTAGGCTTATCAAAGAATCCGTATAAACAATGTGGTGCAAGAATTTGACAACATGGAAAGTTTGACCGTGGCAATTAATGACGTATTTATTAGAATTAATGCTAGATGATTGGTTACGTTCTAGCGGTTTCATGTATATTATGAGAGTTATTGTTGTAATTATGACGTAGGTTACTCAAATTACTGACCAGAATTTATGACGACATAATGACGATTCTGATGTCGTCGTAACGATCGAAATCGTCAACAACGGACAAAAATGCATTAAATGTCTCTCTTATAAATAGACCCAAGCTCTATGTAATCAAGGGAAACTTCATTCGAATTACACATCAATATACTATCTATTTTGTTTACTTGACACCCTTCTTGTTGTTCTTGTCATTTTCCTTACCGTTCTTGTACGAAACCCAATCAATATATAATTTCTATTCTAATTATTTATTAAAATTTTGCTAAAACATACCTCTTTCATTATATCAAAGGTGAACTGACCTGAACTCAATTACCTTAATTTTTTTATTGGTTTATATCAAGTACTCCCTTTGATCCACAAATAATGCCGTGGGATCGGCCCACCTTGCGCAAGATGTGCCGATTCCAAAACGGTGCCGTTTTGCTTATCTAAAAAAATAGATGCGAAGTAAACGTATAGAGCAGTGGCCATAAACAAAATCCGTTCCCTTGGCATTCTTTTCCGAGTTCACTTCTACAATTCCGTCCCCTTGGCATTCTTTTCCGTCAAGTCTGGTCCCTTCTTTTCCGTCACCGACCGCCATCGTTTCTGTCATTTTTCTACTTCTAAATCGTGCTCCCCGACCGTCACCATCGCAGCAATAGGAATCACCACCACATCGGTTCTCCCAGACAACACCACAAGGATGAGGGTGAAAGGGATAGAGATGGGAATCAGGTCAGACAAATGGATGTTTCAGATTTTGTTGATGGAATAGACAAGGATGGAGAGACTGTACCCGTTGATGCAGAGACCATTTATGGAGATGAAATTGAGATGGTGAAGAAATTAGGGATTTTGAAGAAATTGGGGATTTTCTACTTTTCTCAAGTTACATTTAGGATACACTCGAGTTACATTTCTTCTTGCCTATTAGTGTTGTAATTTCTTCTTGCCTATTAGTGTTGTAAGTGTAAAAGTGATTACGACTCGTCTGTTTTTCTACAAATTTTAAATCCAACGACTAAAATCAATAGTCAATAAATTAGACTCAATACTCAATACTACATACGGAATAATAATGAACATAAGACATTGAACCATTAAATTGCTAAAAATGAAAATGGAATAAGATTGTGGGGGTGTTTGGCAAAAGGTCATTCACTGTTAGCTATTGACTGATTGTATTAGCTGATTGATGTTAGCGGATACTGTTGACTTTTTTGGTTAGCTGATAGTATTAACAGTTTATAAAATTGTGTTTGGTTAAATGGTTGTTTACAATCAGCTGATAACTTGTTAAATGACATTTAAGGACATCAATTAATTTTTATTTAATGTGATTAATACAACTATTTAAACCATTTTATGATTTAAAAACATAAAGTTTATTGACAAACATAATACTACTAATATAACTAATTATTAATCTCACCCTGATAAAAAAACCAATGACAATTTCAGCATAAAAGATAACATATATTAAAAAATCGAGAAATATTTATACTAAGTAAAAGAACACTTTTACATCCTTGGAGAAATAATCTTTCTTGGTTGTTCTCCATTTGTATACATACTACCGTAGTATTTTTTACATAAAAAAGTATATTTTTATCAAATGCACAAAAGGATTGTTGAGGAAGTCATTAGTTGAATTAATTATATAAATGAATATAAATAACTGTAGCAAAATTGGATAGTTAAGTAGGAAAAGGCACGCATTGCTCCCCCTCGGTGTTCCTCTTCGGCGGAAGCACATATGTAGGCCGACAAGTGATTTTTTTCTTCGGTGGAAGGGGTTTTTCTTCAGGAAGTAGGAGGGAGACAGATAACGAAAATACGCGTCGGTAGTATAAGGATATAGGAATGATATATGGAAAAGCTAAGATTAATAGCATTTCATATTTTGGCTGTTTGGAATAAAAAACCAAATGAAAAAGCCATTTAACCAAACATCCAAAGTTAGTCAAATCAGCCCAAAAAACGGCCGATAGCCTTCTAACCAAACACCCCCATATATCTTAGACCTACCTTACTTGATCATTTTCATGTATTTATTTTATACTATACATTAATTCCTGTATTTATTTTGGACATTAATACATGTCTATATATATATACAACAATCAGTCCAGTCCAATAGTCCAGTCACTAATGGGCCATAGAAATGAACTTTTCCAACCGGGTGGGTGCCGTTCCAGGTGCTATAAAGCTAAACCAGTTCAGCCCTTTTATGCTCTGCAGTGGCTCGGACTCATGTTCCTTGCCGTGAACCCCCATCAATCCCAGCCGCTTATCTCTCATACAGCGAATCACCAGAGTGGTGTGGGCCCGTTCAATTTAACCAATCCGCCAGTCTGCGATATATAGATAACCCGCGTCCTTTATTATTCTGTGCATCGCATCGCACGGACTTGATTTGATTTTCCCGATTGAGCCAATTTCGCCGGGAAATGACGACCTACGGCACAATCCCGACGTCCTCCGCTGGCGGTGCCACCGTGGAGTACATCTCCCGTGCGAAGGACACGATAAAGGAGGGGCTAGCCACGCGGCGGCCATGGCGAGAGATGTTTGACATTCACTCCGTCCGCCTCCCCTCCAACTTCCACGACGCCGTGTCGCGATTCAAAATCAACATCAGCTACTTCCGGATGAACTACGCCCTCGTCGTCCTCCTGATTCTCTTCCTCAGCCTCCTATGGCATCCGATCTCGCTCATCGTTTACATCGCCCTAATGGCTGCGTGGCTATTTCTCTACTTCCTCCGCGACGAGCCTTTAGTGATCTTTCACCGCGAGATTAGCGATCGTGTGGTGCTGATTGTTATGTCCGTACTCACGATCTTTCTGCTCTTCTTTACCAACGCCACCTGGAATATTGTCGTGTCTCTGTTAATCGGCGCGCTGCTCGTTGTTGCTCATGGCGCTCTTAGGAAGACCGACGATTTATACTTGGATGAGGAATCCGGCGGTCTATTGGCCAGCCATCCTCCGGCTGCTCCATTGGCTTAATGTACTGTATGTGTTTATGTATTTTTGTTGCGCAATTTGTTTCGATTATTTGCTTGTTATTTTTAAATTGTTATCATATTTATGGCTTTTGTTGTAAATGTAGATCTGTTGCTTTAGTTTTTGGAAGAAAAAATAAGCTTAAAAAACTAAAATCATTTTCATCTTTTTAAAGCTTGATTTTGGTTTCTATGTATTTTCACAGAAGGGAATATTATGAAATTATTGGCTGAATGCTTAAATCAAATCATGGATACTTCAACAATAGAAGCAGAGAGGGCATAAGATGCTCTCTTAGTGTGGTACTGTTGCTAGCAAATCACAAGATAATCCTGTTGTAGTTTTACATTTGAGTATTTTTATACTTTTTCTATAACATTTGCTCATTTTGAATCAATAATATTCCTTTGAATGTAAAAATGCTCATTTTATGATTTCAATGTACCATACTTGAACATCACCTCCATCTTTGAGAGTAAAAATGGGATATTCCGAGCCTAATTTTTCAAAAACTTTCAAATTTAATATTTTACCAGCTTCAATCTGAGTATAATTTTTCTAGATTTTACTTGTCAAGATTTACTCCTATTGAATCTGTTAGCGAAGAGTGAATTTTAAAACAACGCTTTAAATTTTCAATTTTAAAGATATCACTTTGATGGCTTTTTATGACGTTGAACAACTGTTCCCCAACAAGACTTCCATTATAACAAGAACGGTTGTCGGACGTCCTTCATGTTCTTTTAAAAAAAGATGTATCCACCAAACCATAATTTAAAATGTATTTGAACAAAATTTAGCTTCGTTCTGACATTTTAGGGGTATTCTATTAGCAAATCAACACCAACTTGTACGCAAATCTCTTTACTTGTGTGAGCAAGGAAATCAATCTGTGTATCAGTGCACTTCGTACAAAATGAGTCTTAACATAATCTCACATATCTTTCCGCCTTTAACATCTCATGTTGTGAGTCAGTCTTGTATTTCACACATGAGACATGACCAAAAGTGATATTTTATCAAAAAACTGTTTTTATAAAGTACTACTAAAATATTACATTTTTATCACAACTTAATGTTGTGCCATCAAGGATCATTTTTATATTGTCCGCTGTCTACTATAGTACAAATGTTTTACATGACAGTGGCCCGTTTTAATTAACCATATAACATACTACAGAGTAATTTCATCACACCTGATGTCCTCCCCCTCTTTAACCTTCTTGGTGATGTGAATGAACAATTTTCACAAGAGGGGGTGGTGTGAAACCTCACCAACAACAAACTATAAATGAACATGGAATGAGAAGGAAATGGAGTGACTTTCTATTTCCACATAAATCACACAAAGCATGAATACAGCATGTGTAGTAGAGTATATATATCACATGTATACAGAAAAGGGTGGAAATCACCTGTCCTCTTCAACTGTTAAACACAGCGCAGATGCCTCACTAGAATGATGAGACATCATGGGAAAACTTGAATTTCCTGACCCGTGGGTATATCATCATCCTTTTTCTCCCACTTGGGGATTTTAGTATATATATCCAAGGAGAGCTTGGGAGTAAAACCCTCCAGCACTTCATTTAACATAGGGCTGCTGTATTTTTGATACTGTGGGGAGGCATCAGTCCATATCCTTCTGCTCTGGCCTGGGGTAGATATGCGACCTGAGTCCATGATGATGTCTCCTTCAAGCATGCGAAGTACCTTCATGAATGTAACATTTCCATTACAATCTTGAAATTAAAGAGACAGGCCGACTTATATACAAACCGCTCATGGGTTGTATATAGCATTGCTCGAAGTTGAAGAATAACATTGTTGCACAAGTTTCCCCAGAAATTCTAGTGTGGCCAAGGCTTAATAAGGCATTAAGATATTCTTTTTTCCCTACTTCATTGTTTTTAGGGGAAAGTGCATAAACATACTTCCCCAAGACTCCAAGGCTCCATTTGGAATGTGGAAATCCTAGGGAATGGAAATAGGGAGGGGCAAAAAAGGAAGATATTTGGATAGAAGAAAAAGATGACACTAAAATATTGGTTCAAACTTAATAAATTAAATTTTAATTATTTGATTGCATTCATTTTATTATATTTTCTATTATATTAATACTAACTTAAAGGAATTGAAACTCACAGCAAAAACTTATTTTCTTTAGACATATTTCATTTTTTGGGGATTTTCTGAGGTGAGTCCAAGCATAAGAATTAACTTTCCTGTGCATTTTCTTTCCTCCCCCTAGTTTTTCCGGATCCAAACATAGTATAATGATCTGTTTGGAACTCGGAAAATGACAAGGAGGGTGATATCTGGAATGAAAGAGAATGCACGGAAGAAATAAAAGATAAATTTATTTAGATAATTTGGTTCAAAATCTTTTTAATTATGTTATCTATTTTATGAAGCTGGGAAATCTAGATATATGTAAATTTTTGAAGGTTCAATACAACTTTCCTTCATAATTCCTAAGGTAAAACCAAACAAAAATCATTTTCTTCATCATTTTATTTCTTTTCCGTACTAGGTTAAAATCCCAGCCGTAGCCTTGTCTTGCCTCCCAGCCTCTAGAAATGGATTCCCTGGTTGTTGAGGAAAATAAGGTCCAACACCTTTTAGGAACAAAGACATATTGTTTGGTTAAGTGAAGGGGAAGTCCAACAGCATTATTTTCCCGGAGAAAGCAACACTATATATGGTCACTGTATATCATTCTAAACCCAACCCATCACCCACTAGCGCAAATCTGTCATCTGACTGACATCTAAGTTTTTTCACAACATTGACAAATACACAACCATTGACGTGTTTATACCTGAGACATCCGTGGCCTGTCCTGAGGATCACGACGTATGCACAATGATGCAGCATGCAACATGCAATGAACCTCATGCTCCACATAGCAGTTTTCTAGCCTGGGATCGATCAATTCCTCAACGGCATATTCTTCCAACAATGGACGGGCCTGTGAATTGAAACCCAAACACAAAACAGGTAATCTATGACAAAATAGATTCTATGTATATGATTGGGTTGCACTTAGAAGGGCCCATTAATCCAATATTTGGAAAGAAGAAAGCGAATCACAAACCCATTCTGTGAGACACTGCTGGCCTTTGGGCCTGGTTAGATCCACTGCTCTGCGTCCGGTGACAAGTTCAACAAGTACCACACCAAATGAGTAAACATCGGCTTTTTCTGTGATCTGGCTGCTTTGAGTGTACTCTGGAGCCAAGTACCTGGACAAAGATACCCAAATGAGTCAGTCTTGTTATACGTAAACAGTCAATACCCAAAAAAGGTAATCAGGGCAAGGGGAAGTGAGCACAAACCCAAATGTCCCAAGAATACGTGTTTCGACTGCTGTATCTCCATCAGGTTGCCATCTAGCTAGACCGAAGTCTCCAACCTAGCGATCCGAGAAAATAATAAAAATACAATGCAAATATTGTCACCCTAAAACTGCTAAACTGCAAAATTTCATTCAAGTTAAAAAGTATCCTAGTTTCCAATTTCATCAACTCATTTCTTTGTAAGAAGGCTGCCACATGAATGGAATCTGTGTTATATTTTGTGATGCTTTTTTCTATGAATTTAAAGGAGTTAACTAAATTAATCAAAAGTGTACCCTTCATGTCACCAACCCAACTAGTTGCCTTTGATGAAAGGTCGGTGGCTATCTCATTCATTGTTTCCCAAGGATAATGATAACTAGAGCAACAATATTCAAAAACCAACCAAAATTTGTGAAAGAGCATGCGTACCGAAAACTATAGCCCAAGTTAGCATAATATAAATTTCACATACCAGTGGTTCAAAGTCATGGGTGATAAGAATGTTGTTGGGCCGCATGTCTCGGTGAACAATGCATCCTACTCTACATTCCTCATGAAGATAACGCAATCCCCTTGCAGCTCCAACAGCCACCTTTTGGCGGGCAGACCACTGTAAGGGATCTTCATTATTTCCTGAAATTAGGCTGTGTTGATCATTTTTTAAATAAATAAAATGTAAACTAAACACTAGCTAAGAATGAATAGTTGAAAAAATACAAAGATTCACTCTTCAGATTAATGAATGAGAATATTCCACGTTTGGATGGATATTAGGTCATTTTCACTTTTGGTAACTGACTTTCATTTTCCCAGTTTTGGTCCACAGCTATTACTTTTTGGCACTTTCGATCCTGTTTATCACGACACGGATCAGGTATGTGATCAGAATGACCAAAGTTGTCAAAAAATTCATTCATGCACCAAAAGTGTAAAAATGGTGTAGATGTCCTACTCATTCATAGAGAGTTAGAGACTTCATAGAGAGTTAGAGACGCATCTCCATAAAAGTAGCACTCATTTACTCTACTGCAGGTAGGGCATCAAATTCCTCTAATCCTATTTATATTTGAAACACGTAATTATCATCATAAATAAGATATGTAAAAAGTAGGAGCATCACATACCATAAAGATGGGAATCTAAAGACCCGTTGCAAATGTATTCGTAAACTAACATCCTTCTGCTATCTTCAATACAGAATCCTATCAACATAACTACATTCCGATGCTGAGCACAACTAAGAACCTCAACTTCTGAACAAAATTCTTGATCCCCTTGAGAACTTGCCAATTTATGTTGTTTAACAGCAACCACCTGACCGTCATTGAGGACACCTCTGTAAACAGATCCAAACCCTCCTTCGGCCAAAAAGTTGGCCTGAGAAAATCCACCTGTTGCATGTTCCAACTCAGCATAGCTGAACCACTTAGGAGGTTTCCCAAAGACAGGTGCCTTGTGTTGACATATTGTACACAAGGGAGGTGGACCAAGAGGGGCACTTCTAGAAAGTGAAATTGCATCTCTCAAATTTCCGGTGAAATCCAGGTCAGACCTAAAGCTTGGGGATGCTGCAAATCTGCCATCTTGGTGGTGATGGGGGGACTGGAATTGTGGTTTGATGAAGTTGTTTGACATCCATGGATGAACAGTTACGTTTCTTGAGGAGCAAGACAAGTTTTCACTATCACTCTCCGAACGTGATTCATTGCCATGGTGGTCTTCTCTTATATCCAACAGCCCCCCTCTTTGTACATCTCTACTTGGTAACATGTTGAAAAATGGAGAGGTTCCTCCTGGATCTGAACTATAAGCTGAGGGGGTACCACCACCTTCAGTGGCAGTGAATATCTCTGGACTAGTGAATATCTCCGGACTACTTGATTGAGATTTCTCTGGAGGTATTGAACTGGAAACTTCATTCTCCTTTTTACATGATCCAACTAAATTAAGGCGGAGAACTTTTGCTTGAGACCGCTTCATTACTACAATGTTGCACAACAGCTCTTCCATGCAACGTTTTTCCTCGTGCTTGAGCTGCCTAAAAGAATGTATAAATAGATGATGACTTTGCTGAACAGTAAGCATGATGCAAATAAATGTCAAAATTATGGTCTTGTTGGTAAAGTGGCTGTTTTGACTGGTCGATAAGATCGAATGGGTACATGAAAAATAGCTTGTAAAAGCTGGTTGTAAATGCTAGGGATATGGGTGTTTTGCTTTAGCGCTAGTTCCTGGATGATTTTATTCTTCTTTTGATAGCTTTTGAAATCAATAAATAAATAAATTAGTTAATATACTACTAGCAATTAACAAATAAATATCTATGATGCACAGAAACAAAAATAATAGATATAAATAAATATAATAAACATTCAGAAAAAATGTTGAAATAAAAATAGTCTAATACTGGACATAGGAGCTAATACTAATAGCGGGTCATAACTCATATCAGCTATAGCTAATAATTACTTTTTTTGGCAAAAGCTAATAATTACTTAAGAAGGTCGTGTTTCAGACAAACTAATTTCATATGAGTGAATGAAAGGTTGAAAAGATAAATATTACTTGTCAAAAATGACCCAATTCGCTTGAGTCCTCTTTGCCTCAGCTGCCACAGCCCCGGACGGTGACCCAGAAACAATTTTAATCTTGACATTTATCTGAAGGGAACCATTGTATCAAGAAAAACTAGTTCTTGGTGCTCAATGATACTTATGGACGTATGTAGAGATTAATTATCGGTTAGAAACTCACCTTTTTCCGGTCATATACATTCTGAAGCTGAAAGATCATTTGGGAGCAGGAATCTGCTATGTCTGATTTCTGCTCAGAACTAGTTCCAGTGTGCGCCCTTCGATGGCCATGGGCACAATCTCCTGCAAACCTTGGGAACATCCATTTTCTTCCTGAGGGTGAAAGGGGTATCACTAAAGTTTTCAGATTATGGAAATGTGGATTTGATCAGCAAGAATATGGTGGTTGACTGGTTGGAAGCCTAGTTGGAGTTGCTATTCAGTAATCGACGCATTAATTAAAAGTTACAAATTAACCATATATTCACAAATGTTTCTGATTTCACTCCGAATTTTGTACAGAGGAGAGAGAAGTAACTGGAACCACAAATTCTTTACTTAAAAGAGAAAGTGACAAAGTTAGTGGGACAACCAAAAAAGGAAAGTTGACAAAGTTTTAATGGACGGAAGGAGTATTATTTAAAAATTGCTTAAAATATTTCAATAAAATTTATGTTGTCATTAGCTAGCTTTTACGTACAAAAAACTCTATTCTATTAAACTTTGAACTTTTTTTACTTATTTGTCTCGCACAAATTCTATTAGCTTTGACCAAGATGATAAAGATACCAATGTAACAAAAAAAATTGTATATAAAAAAGTGTTTAAAAATTTATAAAAACATATATTACTACTCCCTCCGTCCCGAATTGAATTGCAAACTTATTTACATATCTAAAATAGAAAGTGGAAAACCATTTTGGGACAGCCAAAAAAGGAAATTTTGCAAATCAAATTGGGACGGAGGGAGTATGTTTTTTCTATTCAATTTTGTTTTAATTAGAATTGTATTATTCATATTAAATTAATATAGTGAACAATTTGAAGAACACAATTATTATATAAACACTTTATAAAGTCCCGTGCATCGCACGGGTACTAAACTAGTTACTAAAAAAAGACAAAAATGTGACATCTTTTACAAAATTCCAAAAATATGACAAACCAGAGGGACTAGCATCCCCCTAAGATTGCCGGATACGTACGTCGTCTGACAGAATTACCTTGGAATATGGTTGCCTGCCTCAAGTGGGCTGGTGTAATGAGACCCAGCGTCCCCCTTGGGGACGGACCTCACCCCCACCTTGGGCTGTCTCCCACATAGCCGCCCCAAATTGAACGGGCTTTGGAGAGTACCCATGTCTCTGGGGACGTTCGTAGGGTAGGTCACATTTTTGGAAAATCTTAAAGTGGTCATATTTTTAAAATTAGAAACGTGTGGAGTTATATTGATGCCATTATTTCAATCGAATATCAATCAATTGATCACATATGTCATAATAGCAATAATTAACAATTGCACATTTGATACCAATAATGAAGTATCAATCTTTGGGATCTGTCACGTATTATGTTTGGGTTACATAATACGTCACTAATTAAATGAAATGATAAACATATTCCATTTTTTTTTGCATTTTCGAAGGTAAAACCAAGCATGACAACCAAAATAGTTTTTGTTAGCAATGTTTTCTCCTTCCCAAGCATTCACTGGGATGATCAACATAAGGAAAACGACTTGTTGCTGAAGTTTTGTTATTTATAGAGAAAACTGTCAAATAGGTCCTTAAACTTACATAAAAAAGTCAATTAAGTCTTTCTATAGGAGACTCTGTCCGGTCGTCGCGATTTGGGGCGGTTCCCAGTGAAATTTTTTGAGGAAATGTTTTGAGCATCTTATTCATCAAGTCTAGTTTACTCATACCAAATTTCAGCTAAAAATTTAATCGGGAGCGCATTTAAATTAATTCGAGAACGCAAAAATGCGCAGTTATCTTCAAGAATTAATTTGAATGTGTTCCCGATTCAATTTTTAGCTGAAATTTGGTATGAATAAACTAGACTTGGTGAATAAGATGCTCAAAAAATTTCATCAAAAAATTCCACCGGGAACTGCCCCAAATCGCGACGGCCGGACAGATTCCCATATAGAAGGACTTAATTGACCTTTTTATGAAAGTTCGAGGACCTATTTGACAGTTTTCCCTTATTTATATGGGGCTTCTAATAATAAGAAATAAGGAGTAGGACTTACCAGAACTATGGGAAGGGACAACAACTAGAAGTGCAATGCAATCTCCTGGTTGAACAATATGTGTCAAGGCCCAAACAAGAGCCGTCTTGGGTATTTCCTTGGATGCCTTTACAGCAACCATAATCTTTTCCATCAGACTACGATATCCTTATCCTCCCTCCTTTTCTTCACTTCCTGGCTCATTGAAATACAAAACTTCTTTCACTGCTTCAATCTAACAGCCTCACAAGTAACATAACAACACGGCAACACCACCAAAATCTTGAAATAAAGGCCGTATTTTGAAAATAAAAAACTGCCAAAGCATCTATAAGTAAATTTAAAACAACTAAAACATAGCAGTATTTACTGGATAAACCTCTTCTACCACACTAGCTACGTGATTCACATGCATTAGTATATATGTATATACTACTTGTATAAGAAAAACACAAGGTTCCCGCTAGAGGCCAAAAAAGACTTGTATTGAGAAATTTCCAAATTACGCCTTGGTTACACCGTTGGAAAACATGATTTCTGAAATAATGCAGAGTAAGTGACAAGTAGTATGACCTAATATTAAACCAATAAACTCATGAGTAAATCTGCTGAATTACCTGAAATGAAAAGCTTGTTTTAGCCGAATAAATAAGCCCAAAGTAATTTATTCTAATAATTCTGAGTAATCTTTTATAATCACAACAAACAAAAATGTCTACCAAAGGGGTTCGAAGTCTTCCTTTTATATAGCTGCGACCTCCTGCTGTCTAAAATTAGCTTAGTCAAACCAGTTTTTTGAACGAAAAAACATCTCAAAATTAGCCGTTTCCCCAGATTAAAGAACTTTTTCCCTTGTCTTCACTTCCTTGAGTATCTCCCCTTCATTCCAAAAAATAAAAGTTCAACAAAGTAGCTGATGTCCAGTAAAGCTGAAAAGCCAACAAATATTTGAAATGACATAAATTTAAAGTTGGGTGACTCCCGACATGATACCTTTTTCACAAAAGCTTCAAAACTACAAAATTCCGAGCCAAAACAAAATCAAAGAAAATGAACCTGAAGTTATTCACAGGCTTAAACTTCAGAGCACATCATTAATTCCAGCTGAAAATGCAGAGTAATTTTTCGAAGGAGCGTCGAATCATCTGTTTCTTTTCGTATTTGCATCCATCACACAAATTGATTTCTTCGACGGCTCTAAAACTAATGATGACAATAAATAATTCCTAAAGGCCGTAACGTTTGTGTGAAATGCGATCTTACATAGACAATGCACACACAAAAATTGAGAGAAACGTTGAGCTGAAACATCAAACACCGCAGCAAGTGAGTTCATAATCGGATACATGAAGTAACACACTTGCTGATAAATTGAAAGTAACATAGAACTTGTAAAGAAAAAGAGGTGAGATCGAGAGTGCAAAAAACAGACGATATTTAAGGAACAGAAGCACTAGCAGTAAAATGGGGACGCGAAATTATTCAGCACTCACCAATCTGTGCAGAACTGATGGGTAGCTTGATTCAAATTACTGCAATTCTGCCAGTAAATAGGCCGGTCTTACAGAGATCTGCTGGTTTTCTTCAATGGAGGGAAGGAAGTTCGTTTTCAGAGATATCTTTGAAAATTTGCTGGTAGAGATATGTTTGATTTGGAATGGCCCAGCTTCACTGCTCCCATATCTATTTTTAAACGAGGCTGTAAAAAAAGTACAAAAATTCTTTTTCTACACGTTCTTATACACATCAGTACACCTTCGTGTATGTGAGAGTTTTTTTGTCTGTGAATATCAATCGACAGACCAAACCTGATTTGTTTTGTCCGTAGAATTTTCCACAGACAAAATAAGCCGGTTTTGTCCGTGTACTGATGTGTATAAGAACGTGTACCCCAACCATTTTTGAAAAAAGTATAACTAGCGGACAGCTGGCTAGTTTTTGACTCAATTAGTGTTCGTTTGTTCATTTGAATATAGGATTCTGAAGTAAACTTAAAAACTTAGGAGAGTATTAGTAGTTTGTTTTTGAGTTGGTACTTTATATATAGTTAAATGCATGCTATTATAGTTTCTTCATTCATTAAGCAAATTTTTTCTCGGGTTTAAATTTTCTGCTTTGATTTCAATCCGATAAAGTATGATATTATGTGTATTTCATTTTTGTTTAAGTATGATTTGGTATAATATATATAATAATATGCTAAATATGGTTTAGTTTGATCTTTTTTAATATAGTTTGATCTTAATTAAAAACAATGTAAGATAAATGAATAAATTAAAGAACCTTAATGCATAGAATTTAGAATGTTTTTAGGTGACAACTCCGGTACCTTTCTAAAAAATAGGGTACCGTACCTAGCATTCATTTGATTGGATCACACAACTTTATCATTTTTAATTTAGATTTAAATAATTCAACTGCTACATTCTCATTGGTCCATGTGGACAAAGGTATGGTACCTTATGGGTACCATAGAATCTACCATGTTTTTAAGTATAGTTATGTGTATTTCATACGGAGTACGTAAATGTTAATGAACTTTGACTGTGATATATCGGGTGAAGAGCCTAAATCCAAAGTGCATCTCCAGCGGGAGAGTTTTTAAATATTTTTCAAATACAATAACACCATATTGCTTTTTTGGATAAATCGAAAAGTAATGATATTTAAATATGGAATTCTTTTGTTGTCGCATATACTTTTAAGATAATTCCAAAACATTCAAACAGGTGAATCTGAGACTTTCTTTAAAGCAAGCATTTAGCTCGAATTAATTAAGAATTAATAATACTCATTTAGAGAGTAGTAATGATTAAAGTCGACATGTTGGAGTATCTCGAAATTATTACCTATGTGACATTATTGTGATTGAATTGGCAATAATGGTCTCATAAAACTGAATAAATTAAACAAGTGTGGATATGATGAGTCAAGACTCCCGCAACTCACATTAAGTATGTTTTTACCTAGACCGTAATTTGTTGGTCTGGTCTGGTCTGATCTGATCTGGTCTGGTCTGAACTGGTCTGGTCTGGTCTGATTTCTTTGTATTTTTATAACTATCCAAGTCTGGTCTGGTCTGATCTGGTCTGATCTGGGACGAATTACGTAAAAACATCCTAAGAGTAATTTCATTATAATCTAAAGTTGTATTCTAAATCCAATGTTATCGAAACTCCGGGAAGGGCTTGTTTGGTAACGGCTGCAATGGCTGAATAGGCTGAAAATGCTGAATATGTTGAAGTGAAGGTGTTTGGTAATATGTTAGCTAAAATATCTGATTGAGTGTAAAATTACTGTAAAAGGTATTAGCTTATTTGTGTTAAATATATGGGTGTGAACTTTGCTAGTGAAATAAGTTGCTTGATTAGGTGATTATAAGAATGCTTAATTAATTTATTATTTTGAATTTTTTACACGATTTTTTTCGAATAAATGATACTCCGTATTTTTATAACTTTTCTGTAAACAATATGAGTAAATTAATTTTCAAAAATAACCTTTCTATAAAGTATACGGATATTAAAAACTCACATGCACTTAAAAATATTAAAATAAAATGAAACAAAACATACACAGTATTTTTTGGGGTTTGTTTGAATTTTATTTTACTAAAGTCCAAAATAGTAAAGTATGGAGCACTTCTTGAATAAGAAGCTATTGATCTGGAGTACCCAAGCAAGGAGCTTTCGTTCGAAACAACGAAAGCTCAAAAAGTACAATATTAACGAGCATTTATTTCAATATAAAAGGCTAAAAGGGCCTTTTCAATCTCAAATAGTACAACAATAAAAACCAGCTCAAAAAGTAGCCATATTGTTGTTTTTTCGGCTAATCATAAAAAATCAGCTCAAACAGCCAATTTATCAAGTGTTTGGTGATTTTTTTTTCATACTTTCAGGCTTCTCAGCCCATTTTGGGTACTCCAAACACCCTCTATAAGTAAATCAATGTTTTATATGTGATTTTTTTTTTAAATTTGATTGTTGTGAAATGACAGTTTAAAAATCTTCCTATCATACACCACTTTAATTTTCCCTACATATACATACAATCATGCACTATTAATCCACGTCAATTTGGTGGAAGTACAATGTAGATTGAACACAATTTTGTTCACCCTCATTTGAGAGAGTTATTTTCACTCTCACCCCTATTTGTCTCCCATGTGGCAAGACAATACTTCACAATGGGATGAGATGGAATGGAATGCTACATGGCAACCATAGAACAAAGGGGGTGAACATGGCCCCCTTAGTGAGGGTGTACAAAATTACACTCACGTAGATTGATATGGTGGAAGTAATATACTAATATATATGGTCAAGTTAAAGTCTAATGTTGTGAGCCACCTATAGAGGACAATCATGCTACAAAAATCGTATTGACCAATTTCGAGTAATTCTCGAAGCGGTGCGTAGTGCAGCCAAGGTATGAATTGGACTGGACAATCATAAGGATTTTTTTAGATAAGAATTTACACAAATTTTATACATTAATATTCAAAGTTTTTCTTTAAAATTTAGTAGGTCACAGCTTGGCATGCCCCCATCCCCAACCAGAGGTTGGCTTGAGCATTTTGGAGACCCTAGACGAAAAATATTTACTATGCACAAATCACTTTTAAAATCAGATAAATTGAATAAAAATCGTCTTATGAAAAAAAGCATATTCAAAGTCCACGATGAAATGTTTGTAATATTCAAAAGGATAAATTTTAAAATGCAAACTTATTCAAAACACAAGGCAAATTTGTACTTGTAAAAGTATTAAGAGACTTCAAGAACAAGACTCAGAGAGAAGAGCTGAAGAGTCTTATTTGATTCACTAACCAAGGACACATGTCGACGGCGGGCAGTGAAGCATATATACAGTAGCCGATTAGCGGTCTGTGTTAGACGTTGATGCGTGTTGAGATCGACTTTTGATAGTTTTTTCCTAACTTTAAGGTGTCATAAGTCTCAATTTTAAGCTCAAATCGTATTTACCAGCCGTTGGTTCGAGTTTTGGTATTTTTGGAGTCAAAATAAGGGAATTTGAGTCTGACACCGGTGTTTGAGAAGCAATAGGGACGAGTTGAGAAACATTTTAGAGTTGATTAGGAGCATTGGAGATCAGTGAGGTGTTAAAGACAAAGTTTTGAAGACAAAATAGCTCTAGAATTGGCTACGAGATCAAAAGAAGACGAATAGAGCTTGAAAACAACGATCAGGATGACGTTTAGTCAATCGTTAAAGCATATCTTTTCTTAAGAACATCCAAAAAACATGATTCAAGTTTCATATGAAAGCCAACTTCAAGGGCTACAAATCATATGAAGACACCATTGTGAGAATATGAGAGAAGCAAGGTGAAAACAGACGATGAAGTCAATCAATCTCTGTTGAGATTTCAGAATGCGATTTTCCACCATTTTATTCATATATTTTTATTGGATGATTCAAATCCAGTTTTGCAAGTTGTGTTGGATAGAAGACTTCATTAGCTACAACTTTGATGAAGGACGGATAGTCAAAAGTGAACTATAAAGCTGATTTCTCCTTGCAGTTGCCACTTGGTGTATTGGCGGTTTGCGAATAACACCTAATACTAATACCGGAGTAGAATTTTTTGGAGGCCCCCTTGGTAGTTGAGGCCCAAGGCAGTTGCCTGGCCCAACTGCCCTCAAAGTCGCCCCTGTCCCCAACCCTCGTAAGCAGTGACGGATCTTACGTTCAAAAGTTGGGTGTTCAAAATTAATTTATCATCAAAATGTTGAACAAATAAATTTTTCGATCTAACAAATGAATATATATTACTTTTTCAACAACGACAAAATGGAAAATAAGATTAAAGACAAGATATATTATCTAAAAATACACTATATAAATTATTACATCAATTCTATAGGTATATTTTAACATTTTAGTTTTAATTTTTTGGGTGTTCACGTGAACACCTTTGCACAAAAGGGATCCACCACTACTTGTAAGAAGATTCTAAATACTTCGTACAATACTTTTAGTAACAAGTTTTAGCGTATGTATAATACAAAAATCTTATGAAGATTAGAAATATATTTACGAACATGTTTACTTCACAATTAATTTCAATGTTAGCTCATTAACACAAAATAGAATAGACATTTTTTGGATAATGTGTGCCTAGTAAACATCTTTTATATCTTAGGGTGCGTTTGTTTCAAAGAATGTCAGATTACTATGAGAATCTTAGATTGCTGGGTATGTTAGATCATCCTCGGGAATATCAGATAACCTAAGGCATGAAAGGGTATAACATTTCCCTCCATATTACATTCCCGAGAATGTAACTTTCCCGATCTTTTATCAAAACTGTGAACCAAACATGGGTATCTAACATTCCAGGCACCACATTCCAACCTCAATGTGAGATAACCCCAAACCAAACATACCCTTAAAGTATTGCATAGTAAGCACCTCACCCCATATTTTGATAAACATGTTAGGGAAAACTATCAAATAAATCCTCGTACTATACCTAAAAGGTCGATTAGACCCTCGTACTTTACAAACACTCAATTAAGTCTTCGAACTATTAAAAAACGTTCAATTAAGCCCTTTCGGTCGGTAAGTAACCGATTTCCCGGTTAAATGTAACCTGTTTACCGGAAGCCGCCGTTGCTGGGGTTCGAGCACATCGTCGCCATCGTTG